TGTGGGCATGAGCCTGCTGATGGCCCTGGTGGTGCTGCTCATCGTGGCCGGCAACGTCCTGGTGATCGCGGCCATCGGGCGGACGCAGCGGCTGCAGACCCTCACCACCCTCTTCATCACCTCGCTGGCCTGCGCCGACCTGGTGATGGGGCTGCTGGTGGTGCCCTTCGGGGCCACGCTGGTGGTGCGGGGCACCTGGCTCTGGGGATCCTTCCTCTGCGAGTGCTGGACCTCCCTGGACGTGCTCTGCGTGACGGCCAGCATCGAGACCTTGTGCGTCATCGCCATCGACCGCTACCTGGCCATCACCTCGCCTTTCCGCTATCAGAGCCTCATGACCAAGGGTCGGGCCAAGGGCATCATCTGCACCGTCTGGGCCATCTCCGCCCTGGTCTCCTTCTTGCCCATCATGATGCACTGGTGGCGGGACGAGGACCCCCAAGCCCTGGAGTGCTACCAGGACCCGGGCTGCTGCGACTTCGTCACCAACAGGGCTTACGCCATCGCCTCGTCCATCATTTCTTTCTACATCCCCCTCCTCATCATGATCTTTGTGTACCTCCGGGTGTACAGAGAGGCCAAGGAGCAGATCAGGAAGATCGATAGGTGCGAGGGCCGGTTCTACGGCAGGCACGAGCAGCCGCAGCCACCCCCTCACCCTCACCACCAGCCCATCCTCGACAACGGCCGAGCTAGCAAGCGGAAGACCTCCCGCATCATGGCCATGAAGGAGCAGAAAGCCCTCAAGACTTTGGGCATCATCATGGGGGTGTTTACCCTCTGCTGGCTCCCTTTCTTCCTGGTGAACATCGTCAACGTCTTCAACAGGGACCTGGTGCCAGACTGGCTCTTCGTTTTCTTCAACTGGCTGGGCTACGCCAACTCTGCTTTCAACCCCCTCATCTACTGCCGCAGCCCCGACTTTCGTAAAGCCTTCAAGAGGCTCCTCTGCTGCCCCCGGAAAGCCGACCGGCGCCTGCATGCCAGCGGTGGGGAGCTGGCCCGGCTGCCTGGGGGCTTCATCAGCACCGTGGGCTCCCCCGAGCGCAGCCTGGGAGGGACCTGGTCCGACTGCAACGGGGGCACGCGGGGCGGCAGCGATTCCAGCCTGGAGGAGAGAAATAGCAAAACGTCCGATTCGGAGTCCAAGGTATAGGGGAGGGGTGTGGGGGGCTGCGTCGGACCCGGGGCAGGGGGAAAGGCAGGCAGGGAAACACACAGGAGCAGAGAAACCCCTGGCAGCTGCCCGGTGGTAAGGCTGATGCCAAGCAAACCTGATCCCTGTCTTAGCGGGGCGAGAGCGGGTGTTTACTTAGGAATAAAAGCAGGTGAACTTGTGTACGACATACCTCATCCGAAACTACAGCAAACAGGAAGCCCACTGACCAGAGAACAAAGAAAATAAACAGCCTGTCCCAAAGATAGCCAGCTTATATTTAGGAGAAGCTTTCAGAAGGGGCTGCGGCAGCGCCCTTTGCTCGGGTGAGTTGTCCCAAGACCGTGCTGCTGGTTGAACCTGAGCGTGGCGGTGCTGGCCTCTGGCCGCTGGGTTTGGCTGCAGCAGGGGTCCCAGCCGTCCCCCGCCTTGCCCTGCGGCTGTCAGACGCCCCCGGGTTTCATTCCCTCATGCCCAGCGCCAGGTGGTTTGGGGGAGGCGCAGGATTCGTGCTGCAGGTGCTCCAGGCAGAGAGTACAGACACACGGGCAAGATGAGTTTTAAGCTCCGAGGAGCTGTGCTCCCCTCTTCCGCAGAGTAGCGAAGGAGAAAAAAATGAGTAATGAGGAGCACGGGTATATTTTAAAAGGGGAAAAATCGAAAACCCCAGCCCACACTCTTGTGCTTTTTCCCCCTGCATCAGCAAGCAGTGAGTTATTGTGCTTATCTCCTTCAGCCAGACAATGGCAGTCAGGCTGAGAAACTTCTACCTCAAACTGTGCATATTGTACAGGGGAGTAAACAGACGGGGAGGGGGGGGGAATCCTGGCAACAACGAAAATTTACTGCACATTTTTTTAAAAATGACGACAGAGCCGTTTTTTGCACAGCGTTAGGAGTTGTAAAGTTATTTGAAGATGTTACTTGCACACACGTACACACATGCAAATTAAAAATGAAACAGAGGTTTGAATAACACTGACCCTGAACCTGATTTCTGGTTTTGTCTGACCTGTTATAGCTTTATTGAGAGAGTGACTTTTTAAATATTATTTTATGAAGGTACTGTAAATATATCCATATTATAAATTAAAATATATTAAGAGACTTTATTATTTTTATTTTTATTTCCAAGTGCCCACGTGAATCTGCTGTTATTTTAGTACTTGTGTGTCATTTCCATTTTCCTCTGTCTGTGTGTTTTATAACATATTTATACTCTGGTGCAATTTACTACTGTGTAAGTAAATGGTCTATGTGCAATAAATACCATTGCAGCACAAGCAAGCGTGTCTCTATAGGCTTTGAAACAATACCTACCTATAATGGGAAGAACAGCATTTGTTTTTCTCCAAAGATGGCTCAGATTACCAATGCAACTCTATCTAATGGCTTTTCCTGACACAGTATTTCAAAAAATGTGTTTGAAACCCAATAAGGTTGTGTTCCTGTTGCACCGAGGTCTGCTGACTTCCCTTAAAATTAATGGCCAAAGACAAGGTGTTTCCAGTCTGATAATGAATACAACTCATTTTCTGTAACTATTCCTTTCTGGAATATATTCTTTTTTTTTTTTTTTTTTTGTTAGGAGTACGCGTCTGGGAGTCAGGAGACCAGAATATTTAAGATTACAGAGGATGCTTCATTTGAAAGCTAAAAATGGTCTCAAGTAGAAAGAAATCTCCTTATGCGGTGCACGCCACCCCACAAGTAAGTCCACCTCGTGCCGACGGTGGGCCTGATCCTGCCCGACCGAGGTGGGTGGTGTGTGCTCGGCGGAACCAGGTCCAGGTGCTGAGCGTGGAGGTCGGGGGAGACCCCTGCCCGGAAAGCAGCCGGAGGAGGCTCGTGCCCTGTACAGGGAGATGGCAGCTGGGGAGCCGGTCGGAGGAGTCCAGACTTTGATTCCCTCTTACTGTAAAAAAGGAGTTAACCTCTGAGGGAATGGCTGGGACATTACTGGGAGCGGGATCGTACTCTGGGACAGATTTAAACGCTGCTGAAATGAGGGGAAACCTCTTCTGTTGTCTCTGGGTGAAATAAAACTACCTAGTTTGTAGACCACAAAGCTGATGGTCATGTGCAGCATAGCTTACTTTGCAGCGGTCTGCTGCTGATAGTCACGTAGTCCTTGGGGGCCAGATGATGGTAACTGCATGTTACATAGTGGGCTGCTCCGAGTAAGGAGGTTCTGTGAACAGAAGGGCTGCAGATTTGGGCCCTCGGGTCCCAAAGATTGTCATCCTTTATTGCTTTATGAAGGTACGCTGTATCCTTGTGGTTTCATAAAGTTTTTCATTACTGCGATGAATACATGGCAGATAGAGCAACAAAAAGGCAGTGCTAAATAAAAGTGAAGCCATTTTTAGCTTTATTAAACTCAGGAGTATAGTCAAATTAGAAATCAGCTCCCAGGAAGAGGACTTCCCAAAGCGAGTTCTTTACGGTGGTGGCCAACGGTTTGTTTTGGAAATCATTTGTTCATTTTTTTGTTTTAAAAATTAAGGCATTTGTCCTTTGCAATTTCTAATGATGTATTTTCGGGGGGGGGGGGGGGGGGGGGTTAAACTTTTTC